TTTCATTAAACAGTGTATAAAGTGGCCAAGAGATGGGACTCTGGTATTCAACATCCTCAGTTCAATTCTCCTCTCTACCATTTATTAACTGTACTTAACTGGGAAAATTACATGATCTCCTTATGTCTGAGTTTCCACATCTATTAGTTGGAAATATTTTTACCTACATCCTCATAGAATGCTATAAGGATTTAACGAGTTGATGTGTACAAAGTGTTCAAAACAGAGAGTACATGGTAAATAATCACAAATGTTAGTCCTTATTATTCAGTGAAAATGGATGTGAAGCCCAGATAGGTGAATTGATCAAAATGTTTCTTAGGAAGTCAGCTGCATATAGAAAAGAACTAAGTTACTCTAACTTCTAGAAAAGTACACTTTCCAGATGCAAAAGAGGTTAGGGTCCAAGAAAGGAGACTGAAATAGGGGGAGCTATTGAAAAATGCAGGGCTTTTAACTTTCAAGCTAGTTTCTCATTTTTTCTGTTTCTGTAATCCCTAGAGCAACGTGGGTAGCCTTCTTAATAACTAATATGCTGAGAATGAGGAATATGTCCTAAAAACACGAGGCTTGAACGAGCACCAAAACTTTAATAGCATTCTTTGGACTAAAAGTCACATAAGATCTGAAACTATCCACTTTCATTTTGAATAATTATTAAGGCTTTGAATCTACCCTAATAGTAAGGATAGTTCAGAGGACCTGGTTTCATTTTTGCAAATTTGTTGCAAACAGAGACTGGTCTTGGGAATTCAACAGTTTCCTATATCCTATATAATAGCCACTGAATAATCTTGCAGAGTTCCAAGTTCTTTGGTTCAGCAATTAAGCATAAGGAGGTTTATTACATTTTTTATCGTTTATAGAGAAACTTTCCTTACCCTTTAAAAGTATATAAGTCAAATGCCTTACATTAGGCATTTTGTTATCACTCCTCTTTAATGGTTCATTGTAACCACATTTCCAATAATCCTATTGTTTCCAGATCTTATACAAAAGAACGCTCAAAGCAAAGTAAAGCAAATTTTGACTTGTATCTTTTGCTAAACATCTCCTTTATATAACCATAACTATAATATCTTCTTAGAGACATCATCCAAATAATGTATTCTCATTAAAATGACTTACTATTTATTAGTGGTGTCATTATATGGCACCTTGCATATTTACACACGTTATTTGGCTGTGTGTGTGTGTGTGTGTGTGTGTATGTATTCACTATGAAATTCTCTTATATTTATTGTGTCTCCAAGACGTACATTGCATATAATATACAGCAAAGGTTTGTTTTAGTAATGATGAAAAGGGTTTTAATAATGACCATAGATCTCAGGGGAAAAGGGAAAAGTAATAAATTAGTAATTTAGTAAATTTAGTAAAGTAGTAATTTACTTTACATAGCTTTTTAAGAAACAGAAACAGAAAAGCAAAGAGTAAATTCTCATACTTATTATTTTCAGTTCTCTTGTAGGAAATTCCTGGTGGTAAGTAATTTCTTAGGTAACTAGTTATTAGATAGATAACTAGTTATTCAAAAGTCATAATAATCTGCTGCGAATGTCATAATCCCTTTACATTCCCAAGTTAAAAGCAAAGCAATGTCCAGCACTTTTGTCCCAGGCACCACTAAACAAGAGTGTTAACTTTTGATGAACAGAAATGAGTAGATTCATATCTCTACAGGGAAAGAAATATAAAAAGATATACTCTCTAGCTGCCTCTTACTGAAAGACTCCAGAACTATTGATTTGAATGATTCTCTTCAGTCACGAAGATTCCTGTCCTCTTGATTTTATTTTTCCTTCTGGCCCTATTGTCACTAGGTAAAATAGAAGTGTTAATTGAGGAGGTGAAATATCTTTCTGGAGAGGGAAGTCTTGGTTGATGTCAACTAGAGATAAAGAAGTGACTGCTAAGAGAGTGGTGTGTGATGGTCCTGGGAGTGAATCACAAAGAAAGGACTTGTGATCTTACTAAAAAGTAAGGCTCCTGGTGAGTCATATTATTGTGGGAGACAGTTTAAGGACTTGATCAAATGCTTTGTTCTCAGTGTGAGCTGGCTGTCCAGAAAGCCAAGTTAGATAGGATATTAAATTATAATCATCTGGATCCTTGAGAAATAATGGGATGCTGTGTATAGTACAGTAACAACAGGTTTTCCACTAACTTACACCAAATGATAGATTTGGCTATATCATGTTGCGTGGTTTATTTGAGAATTCTCATTTTAAAACATTTTGTGTTTTTAACAATTTAAAACAAGTCAAAAACAATTTAATGGCTCTATTACCACAGGTCCAATTAGATAACTACTAATATTAATCAGGTGATGAAATGAACATAGCCTTTGGAGTTATTGATACCTGGGGTCAGATTTGGTTTCTGCCACCAAAATGGTTACATGAATCTATCAGTTTGTTTAAACTCCTTCAGCCTCAGTTTCTGCATCTGTGAATTAAGTATAGCAATTAAGCTTCCTCATAGCATTATCATGAGAATTAATAATATATAAATATGCAAAGTACCTGATGTAGACTATGGTATATATTATGTTTTTCTTACATATTATAATTACTTTTACATTGTATTGAAACATCTTAGAAGGAAAGTAGGCTCTTGGTGTCTCATTTTGGGAGAAGAAATTTTTCTCTGACAAGTATTGTAAAAGGCAATGGAGGCAATATTTACCCTGTTGGATTTCATGTTCTTAGGTTATGTACCCTCATTTGTAAACCATTGCCCTCATCACCCAGGTTAGATTAGCAGCCAAATGGATGTGTCTTGATATAGATCATTGAAAGAGTTTCTTTGTCACATTTCAGACTACTCAAGATAGGAAAATTATTTAACACTATAAAAACACACATCCCTTAAAAAATAATTCCACTCAAAAACAAAACAAACCTCTAGAAACTTCTGATTTAGGAGTGGCCTAGACCTTCAATAGATTACTATTTGAACTCCAACTTCATCCCACAGAACACAGATGAAACCAAGTGTTCTAGCAATAAGTCAGTCTAGCTTGGAGGAAATTTAAAAACTCAAATACCTAAGTATTTTGGATAAAAGATTCAAATCATTTGAATTCTCTTATAATTAAAATAAATTTTCTCAGATAAAAATCACGAGGATTATTATTGTATCACAACTTCCTAAACTCAGGACTTAAAACAAGGTTTTAATTTTACTAACACCAAACTAAGATTTTCTTAAAATAGAGAAGACTAGTATATAGGGCGACCGACCACATTTGGATAATAAAATATTACCTCCAGTTATGTTATCTTGATTTACATGTGTCCCACATGTCACTTGCTTTTGAAAAAAAAATGTGAAAACCTTCATGACATTTTCAGTATCTTCAGAAACCAAAGAGACTTGCATGTGTGCATGGTTTCATCAAAAAGTTGAAACATTTGCAATTCCTTCTTGTACATAAATATGAATTTTAGATGATGCAATAGCTATTATCTAGTGAGAAGCTATTTGTTGTTTTTGTTACTAGTGGGGAAATGCTAATTTATAATTCCCACTTAAATAATGCCATTCTTTTTCTCATACTGATGCTTGACAGCTGTCATATTCTGTTATTTGTAAATTCCAATTAAGTCGACATACATGTTTCACACCCCTCATATAGGACAGTGTAATTTGAGGATGCATTTTTAAACTGGTGAGATAATGTCTTTTCCCTCTGGCATCAAAGGCAATAAATAACATCTCTCTAGACAATACAAATAAGAAGACATCATTAATTTATACGGTGGAACAGTGATATCACATGGACTCAAATATGGGGCAAAAATCAATATAATATGGTTTCAACTTTTTCCCCCAAAGCATAATTACCCAAAGTAACAGAGGGAAGTTAATATAACTTCACTGATATCAGAGGGCCTAAATATATTGGGTTATCATTACCACCAAGTCTACCATAGATGGGTCCTATATATGATAGGATTTTAGGGAAAGATGAAGAACAGTGTTCACATACCTTCTCTGCTGATGGCAGATAATTCAACATTATATTTAATGCTTTTACTTTGAGAATCTCCTTCGCTTAGGGACCCATTTTAAAATACAAACATTTCTTGAAAAGGTGAAATATTGTCTTCTGCCCATGATTTCAATAGGTTCATTAGTTGGGATATGTTGCGATAGTGCTGGCCTGAGGACTTTATAGAGAAGGGGACTCTGAGTAAAGGAAACATGAGGAGACGCTGGCCAGTTTCACTCCCTTCACTGCATGTCTAAGGCTGGTCGGGATATGGCACCACTACTGCTCTTAGCACCCCCTGACTAACCTCAGATCTTTGTGTGTGTTTTCAAAGAATCCTTATCTCAACGTCTTCATTCTCCCCATAAAAAAAGAGTCCTAAATATAAAAGCAAAATAGCAATTTAAACATGAGTTGATGAAGCCAAGAATACAGTGTATGTTAACTAACGTGAGTTTAAATAAATAATAATAATTGAAAAAGATACCACACGCATGACATGCATGCTGGGAAGCGTTTGGTAGCTGGATGGGGGTAAACAATAACAACAACAACAACAACAACATGAGTTGGTGTTCCCACTGTTTAATCCTAAAGTCAAAAATAATTTACGTGCTTATTTCATTTGAATCAGAGGGGAAAAAAAAACAAAAAACAAGTAGGTGGGTAGATAGCCACAGGGATATATGATGTTTGTTCCAAAGCTGTTCTGGATCCAACAATATCTATTTAGAATTCTTATGGAAAACTAAGCTTTAGCCACCAGTGGATAAAGTCAAAAGTTGGAGCGAGAACTGAATGAAGCAGAATCCACAAAACTGTCATCACCAGAAAAATAGTAAAATAAATGACTTCTTAAATGCCTACTCCAGGGTGAAAACTTAGCATATGCAGACGCTTTAATGATTTTCATGTCAACAATTGATTGATACCAAGTTTGGGTCCCTAAAACATATACAATGACTCAATGGTTTCTGTGCCTTTTTCTTCCCCCTTTTAACAGTGAAATGTCCCGTGAAAGACGCCTATAGTTGCTTTGTCAAGAGAGGCAAATGTAGACAGGAATGCCATGATTTTGAAAAACCTGTTGGTTTCTGCAGAAAACTAAATGCCAAATGTTGTATGTAGAAGTCTGAAATAAAAATCAGCATTCCTGAAAATAAAGCACAGTGGGTGTAAGGATTAGTAATAAATGAAACTGAATTACTAACCACTCTTGTACAGTATGTGTTGCTTTCTTGGTCACATGGCATCATCTGAAGAACTAGTTTTTCTCCTGAAGATCTGACAATAGCAGGAGATACAGGTGTATAGGGTGGTTCTATAGAAATGGGTCATCATTTGTTTTTTTTTAATTTTTCTTCCATTTATTTATTTTTAAGAGACAGAGAGACAGCACACAAGTGGGGGAAGGGGGGAGAGAGAGAGAGAGAGAGAATCCAAAGCCAGTTCAAGGCTCCGAGCTGTCAGCACAGAGCTCAACAGAGGGCTCGAGCCCACCAACTGTGAGATCATGACCGGAGCCGAAGTTAGACACTTAACTGACTGAGCCACCCAGGCGCCCCAAAACAGGTGATCATTTTGGATATCAATTCTCTATTAATTGGTGGAAGAATGCTAAATAACAAAAATAATATTATCAGGAATCTTCAATTCAAAGATATCCAAGCTGATAGGAACAATTCTACAAATGAGAGAGGAGTTGGAAGAGATCAAAGAAATGGAATAAATAGGACTTCCATCAGGTCATGGATTAAGGGACCTGATTCACTGCAAGCAAAGAGTCCTAGCATCAGCTCAATCCTTCAATTAAGCCTTTGCTTTCTTAATATGGGATAGGGTTTTATTAATTCCATGGGATGGAAAATGCTTAGAAAGTATAGACACAGGGAAAGGTGATGAAAGACTGTTGAAATGATCCAGGTGTAAGAGAAATAAAGACTTGCTCTAACAGGGGTAGTAGATCAGGCTTGAGACACTCTAGCAAATGTTTAATTTCCAAATTATAGTACAGATATCAAATAAAACAAATACTAATAAGATTGCAAGAGAAACTCTCATGGTGTATTATTAGACTATGTTTGTACTTTTCAGTGTTAACTTAGAAGTACATAAATAAGAAGACATCCTCTTTATATTATAAAAGAAAAAGAGCTTATTGTTCTGCTTCTTTTTGTCTCTTCTAGTTTACCAGGGTACAGCCACACAATATTTGCTTTTTGTGTGGACTTGGCCAATTTGAGAGCTAACATGATATAAGACAAGTGCTAAAATCTTACTTGAAACCTTGCACAAGTTCTCCATCACCTTTTCTCACAGGAAGAAGGTTCAGACTCCTTAACCAGCCAGAGTATGAACAGACTGAAGTATCTAATGAAGATATGAATATTATTGTCTTATCCTGGTATATCTTCTCTGTATAAAAAGTGCAACCATGTCTGGAAATAAACATACTTATTATGAAAAGTAGAAAAAAATTAGCTTGATAATAAAAACACAGTTTCTTCTGGTATTCTTCTGATCCTAATTTATTCTCAGTATTTTATTTTATTTTATTTTACTTTATTTTATTTTTTAACTTTAGACATAGAGAAAGGGAGAGCATGAGTGGGGGAGAGGGGAAGAGAGAGAGGGAGAGAAAGAATCCCAAGCAGGCCTCACGTCCAGCATGGAGTCTGACGCAGGGCTCCATCCCAATACTCTGGGATCACGACCTGAGCCAAAATCAAGGGTAGGACACACTGAACTGACTGAGGCACCCAGGTATCCCCATTCTCAGCATTTTAATGAATAAAATTACACAATGAGTGAAACTGCTGTCCCTGTATATATCTGCTAATGACTTAAACATTGAATGAGGAAATAATACTTTCATTTTGTTTCCAAAATGGTGGAAAATATTGGTTAATAAGCAAGAGGTTCCTCTAAGATTAAGGAATTTAGGTCAGGGAGGAAGGTGGGAGAAGAGTGTATCATAATGATGAGGCCTTTTTTTTTTAAGTTTATTTATTTTAAGAGAGAGAAAGAGAAGATGAAGAAGGAGGAGGAGGGGGAGAAGGAGAAGGAGAGAGTGAGCAGAGGAGGGGCAGAGAGAAAGGGGGAGAGAGAATCCCAAGCAGGTTCTGTGCTGTCAGCATGGAGCCCAATGCAGGACTTGATCCCACACACTGTCAGATCATGACCTGAGCCAAAATTAACAGTCAGGCACTTAATTAACTGAGCTACACAGGCACCCTGAAGTCTTCATGTTTTGAAGTTAGATTGCCTGAGTTTTGAGTTCCAGTTTCACTATGTTTTTAGCTATATTATTGAACAAAAATCATTACCAACTCTCTCAGCCCCAATGTCCTTATCTATAAAATAATAATAGCATCCACTGAATTAAGTTTGACGTGAGGGTTAAATGAGATAATCCAAGTAAAACTCAAAATTATAATGCTTAAAAATAATGGTAATCATTACAACCTTAATCATTTCAACAATACTATAATTGTTTAATGCTCCAAACTTGCCCTTGCATAAATGGTGTATATGTGTACAGAGATCACATTGTAGTCATCAGAAACCTATCCGCATGTAAAAACATAAAAAAGAGAAATGTGGGTGGGTTTGAGAAGTCTCAAGAAACAATTCCTAAGGCAAGGAGACAGCACTGGGATAATTCAACATTTCAGTTTCTGTTTTGTTTCTTATCTATGACCTGGGTAAGGGAGGAAGCTTGGGCTAGTACATACTGTTCATATGACCCAGAAGCATGAGACAACCTGACATGGTGATACAAATTCTATGGGTTCTACAGCCAGACCGGGATAACTTAGTGATAAAACTCAAAGGCACATGAAGAATGAAGAAAGATCAGTAAGCCTAAAAGATGAACTACTACAGTAGCTATATTTATATTTTCAAATTTTTAAAGTCAAAATGTTTTTGCAAACTGAAGCCTTTAGATAAATATGATAATAATTATAAAGATCATTGAAAAGTTTCAAAAATAAGTCTCTTCTTATTTCCTATCATTTTATTCCCAAATTAAATTATTTAGGCCTGATGTGTCACAACAGAAAATACTTCTAAGGTTCCTAGAAGTACATGCTCAGTCCCCTTTTTCTAAATAATCTCTGGAGCAATCATACTTACAACCACTATTTCAACCACCTGAAATGATGCCCAAATTTATATTTCTAACTCTCATTTTTTTCTTTAGCTCAAGGCACACATATGCCTATTGGATATCTCTTAGGGAAATTCTATAGATTCCTTAAACTCAACTCTATCAAAATAATTACCTCTTCTCTCTTTCCTTGTCTCCCATCAACTGACTTCTCCTATATTTTTTATGATCATTTGTTAACTAAATGACAGGGCTACTTCTTTACCTTCTCCCTTTGTAAGTACATTTATTCTAGGTCATTAATATTTTGGGAAAATGAGCTTTTAATTCTTGCCCACATAGGCTTGGGCAAGCCCTTACTGTTAGCTTTGCCTGCCCAAAGTTCATGACTTGTTTACTGGGATGTTTGCCTTTCAGGTAGTCCCTACTCAAGTTACAGAAAGGCTCAATAGGAATCAAATCAGTCACTGTGTGCTAGGCACCAGGGGTGTAATGATGAATGTAAGGAATAATACAGTTTCATGAGATCTCTAATCATTAAATATGCATTTATTAGTGCAAAACTCTAGGTTCTAAACTTGCCTTGAAGTAAGGGATTCTGGGAAGCCTCTATTAAGAAAATGGAATTTAAACTAGGATCTAAGGGGGCACCAGGGTGGCTCAGTCAGTTAAGGATCCAACTTGGGCTCAAGTCATGATCTCATGGTTCATGAGTTTGAGCCACATGTTGGGCTCTGTGCAGACAGCTCAGAGCCTGCTTTTGATTCTGTGTCTCCCCCTTTCTCTGCCCTTCCCCATTCATGCTCTGTCTCTCTA